AAAACACATCACGTGCGTAAACCCCAAAACCCCCGGCTCGTAAAACCAAAGCAAAACCGTTCTGCAGAGGCAGCGGGGGCACAGATACTCACTGATCTAACTGCAGGCTGCTGTTCTCGTGGCTTTGGGAGGATGGGGAAGCAGGTTCCCTGGATGAGTGCTGAGGAGATGAAACATTTCAAAAATAAGAAATATGTATGGCAAACTGAACCCCCGGACCCTGTAAGAATCCGTCTAAAAGTAAAAATTCGGAATGACATCACCATGGCGTTGCCCCAGTCCCAAACCAGTGCCAGGGATGTTCTTTATGTGACTTTTGAAGAGTAACAGACATTTCTATCCCTGACTCGAGCCCCGTTTTGGACTCCAAGGGCACTCAAGTATCCCACACTCCTTTCCCCCCAGCAGCAATAGACAGAAACCCACAACCACTGCTAAACTTATTGATGTGCCCCAGGAAAGGAAAATGCAGCGCTGCATCTGCAATGAGTTCACACAGAAGGAACAAAAGCTGGGGTTTTTGAAGGAGTTACAGCCTCAGCTCTCACGAGGCAAACGCCTTTACTCACAGCTTGAAGAGTTTCTCTCAAGTCTTCTACACGGAGCTCAGCTTTCCGTCTCGGAGATTTCATGCTTTCCTCTGCCTCCAGTTCTCTCAGTGTCTCCTGTTTTCTCGTGACAGCTGCCTCCAGCTCGCTGCCACGAGAAGAGGCGACAGCAGCAGCACTCAGTTAGACCACGGGCCCAGGTCCCCGCTGCTCTGCCTGCAGCGGTGTCCGAAGCGGCCTCCGGTCTCCGGGAGGGGAAAGGGCCGGAGATGCGCGAGCCACCAGCACTGGGTCTGCGCAGGACCCCTGGCCGGGCAGCGAACAGCCTCACCCCCTCACCCAGCAGCTCAGCTACCCGAGCAAAACCTTTTCTTTGCATTTCAGTGCCCCTCTCAAGGCAAGAGTGCCCTCTCTTATTAACCTTGCAGGACAGACGTTGGGAAGAGAAATAACTGAACCTGACAAGCAGAGGCCAAGGGATGAATTTACACAGCGAGTTATTAACAGGTCTGGAGAAGGACCCTGGGGCCTCCATGCCCCCGACAGGCAGTAAAACCACCATTAGAATTCTGGAGGAACGTGGATCAGCACACAAGCAGCTTGGAGCTACGGGAGGGGTCCAGGCTGGGTCAGAGAGGTTTCTGTTCGGGGCGTAGGGCAGATCTTTCTGTATTAGAGGAAGTTTCTCATGCACACACCTGATGCGTTTCTGTAGCCTCTGGCTTCGGGTCTGCAACAAGTCCACCTGAGCCTCCAGCTCAGCCTTCTGGTCCTGCAGCTCCTCCAGAGACTTACGCAGCTGCCGGGTGGACTCCAGGAGGCTGGTGCGCTCCTTCCTGCTCTCCTCTAGCTGGAGCTGAGAACCAAAGCAGCTTTTTAGAAGAAAACCAAAAAATCCCTCCCAGTAATCTCCCCAACACCAAAATAAAAGGCACACGATGTGAGAGAACTGGCGGCCTGCACAGTTCACAGGAGGTCCCAGGGTCGTAGGTACGCACTCCAATCCTGGAGGACCAGGACTGTCTCTTCTCTCGAGAGACAGCTCAGAGCCAAACAAACTCTCAGCAGGATGGACTCCAGAAGTAAGAGTCTGCTTTTTTAAAGCCCTCATTCTAGTGCCCTGCCCTCACCCCCAGCAGCAGCACAGCACCTCTCCAGAGCTAAGGCATACATACGTCTCTTTTTAGCTCAGCCTGTCGGTCCTCGTCCAGCAGCTGCTGCCTTTTCCTCCTCAGAGACTCCTCCTGTAACCAGAGGAGAAAGCAGGTGAGTGGGAGAGTGAGGAGACAGCTGATGCTGGGCAGCGTTTGAAGGGCACAGGTCAGGCCTAAGTCTCAAAACTGTTTCAAAACACTTAAGGATTGTTCTCAGTTTTGCTTTGTTGCCCCCCACACACTCAAGTTCTCATCCCTTCGTTGGGCTTCAAGTGAGGAGCTGGGAATATCTGCATTCCTGGGGGAAGAACACCCCTTCCTGCTCAGCTGCGAGAGCACCCATGGCACATGGCCATTTCTGCAGGATCCTGCTTTTGTCAAGCCTCTGGTTGCCTCCAGCATTTCTCCACCTTTTTACTTCCTCACTCCGGTGCTGCTTGGAAAGGGCGGGCTGCCAGAAGCAAGGTTATCTACAACCCTTGGCACAGGCCACGACTTAAGAGATCTGGCAGGCGAGAACATCAGCCAGCGATTTTTGCCAGCTCCACAGGAGCACTTGGAGCGCTTCCCTCTCTCGCTGCGCTGCCCAAGATCCAGCAGCACACATTCCCCTTCCACGGCAGCAGGGAGGAGGGAAATCAGGAAGGGACTGACTGAAATCCAAAGGGATGCTGAGCAGAACCTGCCACCTTGAAAGGCTTTTATGATCCCTCCATCACTCTTACAGCCACTTACCATCTCCCAAAGCCCTGGTCAAACCCTGAGCAAACCCCAAGCACTGACTTTCCCGGCAAACACCATCCAGGAGGCTGTATGGCCAGGAACGCTGAGCCCTGATCTGGCCTGTGATGGAAGTTTTCCTTCCCAATGTCCTGGCTGAGCCCAGGAGGAAGCAGCCCGAGGAGCAGCACCGGCTAAGACACCTCTGTGAGCCCCACAGGGCTGACTCACCTGGCTAAGGAGCTGCACTGATCTGGATTTGATGTTCTTCTCACGCATTTCAAGCTCGTTCTCTGAATCCTGGAGTTTTCTTTCCTGCAGAGAGAGGCCGAGTTAGAGAGAGAACGGCTCAAGTCACCAGGCAGAGCTCTGCCACCAGGAGGAACAACAAAAACAGGGCGAGCGTGACCTGCTGCTTGTCACCCCGGCCATAGAGGGGAGCAGGCGCCTTGGGGCGTCACGGTCCCCAGGCTGTCCCCAGGCAGCCAAGTCAGGCGGATTCGCCAGGCAAAGCGTTCTCCTCACCTTCTCCCTGTGCTTGCGCTGCAGCGCAGCGAGCTGCTCATCCAGCTCCACCTGCAGAGCCTTCACCTCGGCTTCATGAAGCTGCCGGAGACGCGCCCCCTCGCTTTGCAGGCCTTCCAGCAGCTCTGCTCTTTGCTTCCTCTCCTGCTTGTTGCAAAACACAAACAAGAAAAGCGTCTGAGTGGAGCACAGGGTTCTCCAGCAAGCCAGCGTGAGCACACAGGACACACTGCCCATCCCGCAGCAGCTCCTGAGCACACTCCAAACTCAGCGGATTCAAACCTCTGGCTTGCAGGGACATCATTACGGGAGAGGCTTGGGAAAGGAAAAACAGCCCATGGAACTAAGGTTTTTTTCACACACTGCTGCCAAAAATGGGAGGCAGAAGGCTTTCCAGAAGGGACACCTGCAAAAATGTGAACAATCTTCCCTCGTACTGAAGCTGACAGATGCATGTGGAAGTTGCCTGCACGGGGAGTATTTTGACAGCTTATCCCTACAACCCCAGGCTAAACTCACTTCACAGCATGGCAACAGTGCCCAGTTCCCCGAGAAGGAAGGAGACTCCCAGTCCTGGGAGCAGCTGGGACAGCAGCTCGGCAGGCAGCAGTGCCAGCCCGGGTGCGGCCCGACAGAGCGGCCGCAGTCACCTCCCGGCTGCGCTGCTCCCCGCACAGTACCTCCTCCTCGTAGTGATCCCGCATCCGCGCCAGGGCCTCCTCGTGCTGCTCCTTCATCCTCTCCATTTTCCTCTCGTGGTCTTTTTCCACGTTCTGCCGCTTCTCCCTCATTAGTTCGCTGAGCTGCGGGGATGACGTGACAAGATGTTTGTGACCTGCAGCCCCGCGGCGAGCGCAGCCCCTCACGGGAGCGGGAGGACGGGCGGTCGCGGTGCCACGCGCGCAGGATCAGGCTGGGGTAGCCCAAGGCAAACGCCCCGGCGGGGACAGATGCCACAGGGGTGCCCTTTCCCCCGTGGCACCGCTGCCACCCCTGGTCACGGGACGCGGCCTCGGGGCCTCACCACAGCCCCAGGGAGAGGGGGTGAAGGACCTGCAGCAATCCGAGGGGAGCACTTACCTCGTGTTCATACTCCATGACTTGTCGGGCCTTTTGCTGAGCTTTCTGCTCGGCTCTCTGCAAGTCTTCGCGCAGCTGAGCCTCCTCGTTCCGCCGTGCCTCTGCTAGTTGGGTTTGCAGGCTGGAAATGACCTGCCGTGAAAGCCACCCACAGAGACTTGTCACCCTTCTGACAAGATCCATTCGGTGCCCTCCCACGGAGAGCGAGCAGCGTGGCAAAGACCAGCGTGTGCAGTCTCACCACCCCCTACTTGGAGCACGCCCAAGTGCTGAGCCAGACCAGAACCACATTTAGGAAGCGGAAAAAAAAAAAAATGAACGCCACCCTCCCCGGCCACCTTTGGTGACAGTGTGGGAAATCAACGATTTACATTCTGAGGACACCACCTTTTACCTTATGATGCTTCTCCTCTGCCTCAGACTTCAGCTGGTGGAGTTCAGTTGCAAACTGTTCCTCTAGCTCTTCCACTGCCTACAGGAACATGAGCAAAACAGTCTGCTGGAAAACCTCTATGTGTGGGGACACGCTGTACAAGATGCATTTGCAGTCAACGTCTCTCCATAAGCACCAAAAAAGCACAACGGTAAACCCCTTTCAAACCGGATTACGCCTTTCCTCTCTCTGTGCTTTCCCTCCTGGGGGATCTCAGTGGATCTCAGTCGCACTGTGCTGGAAGGACTGTGAGCTGCCTCCGCTCGGGAGCTCCCCAGGCTCTCCGGAGGACCACAGCAGCAGCCAAAGAGCTATTCTGAGGTGAGGAAACGGCTTGGTTTAGCTTGGCAGAGACACACAGTGATCCTCCTCTTTTCCTCGGAGGCAGTGTGGCCATTTATTTAATTGCTATTTAATCGGGGTTGTAGGAAGAACTGAGGGAGTACTCCTCCCCACCTCAGCCGCGCCTCTAAGGGCGTGCCTCGCACCTTTCCTCGGGGTTTTCAGGGAGGCATCACTAAAGCACACGCAGGTGTTACTTCATCCCGACACTTGGGCACCGCAAGGCGAGCCAGGTCAGCGCCACCAGCGTGGGTCTGGCCCAACCTGGCAATAAAGAGCTCACCTTCTTCTTCTCCCTGTCCAATCTCTCCCTGAGCTCATTCAGGAATTGTTCTTTCTCTCGTTGCAGCTCGGACATCTCCTTCTGCTGGGCTTCCTTCATTTTCAGCTTCATTTCCTCCAGAAGCAGCCGCTGCTGCCTCTCCAGGCTCTCCTTCTCCATCGCCTGCTGGGATTCACACTCCTCTCGGAGCTTCTGCAGTGTCGCCTCGTGCTCCGCCCTGGGTTTGCAACAAGGACAGCCGGGGGCAAGTCAGAGCTCGGCACCTTACCCCCGGACTCCCTTCAGGAACCAGAGCCGAGAGAAGACGCTGCTAAGGGGTAGGACGTGCAGGCCAGAAGAAACTGAGAACCGGG